CTAGGCCGTATAACGGTCAAGCAGACACCGGAGACGGACCGAGACGGACGGGACAAATTTGATACAACGGTCTTTTCGAAACCCTACCCCCTACGTTCTAGTAAGCTGCAGTAATACGTCAGCTTGCAGCAATACGAAACTCTGAATCTGACAGAGGACCAACTCAGGAATCTATACACAACTTGGCAGGTAGGTTCTTCGAATCGTAAAAAATAAGCATTTCACAGCTAAGATTTGTAAGTTGTGTAGTTATGTCGTTGTTAATTTAATAAGTATTGATTTTTGGTGTCCCGGCGTTTAACTAAGATCTGCATATTGCTGTAGCTTACTAGAATGCAGCGGTATCTAGTAGGCTATAGGGTTACAAATACGTTGCACAACAAGCTATGAAAGGGGTAGAGATTTACGCATGCCCAAGTCTCCACGCCCCCTCGGCCACTTCATAGTAAAATCTACAGGCTCCTCCCTTCCAGGGCTGGAGCACCCTCGGTCGCCACTATAACCCTGCTCGGTACTAGTTTGTATCACGTAAGAAGCTTCCAAGCTGAAGGAGGTGGGTTCTGTATTTCTTAACATTCATTCTCCTTGGCGTTGGGCCGAGGTTCCATGGGTTACAGCTCGCCTCTTCAACACTTTCAAATCACTTCCTGCGCCCAGAACTACGATGAGTATGTGATACTGACCATCGTATATGATGCTCCGTGCTCATACTCTGTGGTTTGGCCTGAAGCAATAGATACTAACGGCTGTCTCGTAGGTGCGCGAAGCTTAAATGGCTGCTGGACATGTCGATTGAGGAGAAAGAAGTGTGACGAGCGTCGTCCTCAATGTATCAAATGCGAAGAACTGGGTATCAAATGCCTGGAATATGGTGCCAAGCCACAGTATATGGATGGAGGCTTGGGCGAAAAGAATATGGTCGAGGGTATCAAGAACGCCATAAAGGTTACGAAGATACGCAAGCGGCTCCATCGTCACTCGAATACCGGTAATACAGCTGAATATCTTGTCTACAAGACACCGCTACAAACGTCTTCATTTCAGGATAACGACATCATCCACCAAGCGTCCGTCGAGGAGGAACTCGCCCTTCAGTGCATTGATTCATGGGACCAGGACAGTTATTTCCTTGCAAGTCCTTTACAGCACTGCCAAACTGATTGGATTAATAAACCGCCCACCGTCTGCGAAACATTTGAAGGACAGCAAATCCCCACCGAGTTTCTGGAGCCGCAACCGAGTTGCTCCTTCGATCGTGCGATAGAGCTGACTCCACCACCATCAACTCCATCTCGATCTCAGTGTGAAGAGAATCTGGAGTGTGTTGAAGGTGTTCTGATATTACACTACATGGACTTCGTTCTGTATATCCAATTCCCTTTCTACAATGAGGCTCTCTCTCATAATGGACGAGGTTGGCTGCTCAATCTTGTAACCACAATTAAACCAATCTGTTCGTTGCTTTCTTCTCTTATACAATTCCACTCTTTACAGCTCTAATAAACTCTGTTGATGCTGACCTGGGCTCCAGACTACACTGGACTAGCGTTGAGTTCTTACCAGAGAGATGTAGAGGACTCTCAAGGCGATCAAGTAAAAAGATTTGAACGCTACTGGAAATACTACAACCGAGCTCTCATCGAGTTGCGCCAGTACATGGACGGTGCAGATCACGATGAGGACGAAGACTACAACTTCAACGTTTCATTCTGCATTCTCCAACTCATCTATTGCGAGGTAAAAACGAAGGCAAGACTTTTAACGATGATGAATTCTGACGAGACTTAGATTTTCCGTGGCGGAAACGATTGGCAGATGCATCTGCAGGCGGCATCGAGCTTTGTCAATTCTCTTGCTACATCTAATCATGACGTATCTAGTTCAGCAGGTAACGAGTCTCAAAGAGAGGCTACTTATGATGACAGGGGCGCCACTATGAAAGAGAATGCAATCGATGCGGTCCTTGGTGTCTTCGTTGCACTAGACATTCTGTCTTCTGCGTCAACCAGAACACCATCACTCTTAAAGGCAAACCACCAGCACTGCTTAAGTGAGAGAAACATTCAGACAGACCATCTTATAGGCTGTGACCCCAGTGTAATATGTCTGATATCGGAGATTTCCGCATTGGATGTGTGGAAAGAGGAGTGCAAGGCAGCCCACTCTTTAAGCATTATGGAGCTTAGCAAGCGAGCTAGGAAGATCGAGGCCGCATTGGAAGATTTCATATGTAGAAATGCGCTTGACACGCAAACTGACGTACCAACATTGAAGACTGCAATACCTACACCTAGCTCATCCAAGTTCAACAGTCGATTTGTCTCGGAAATATTCGCCATGTCTGCAATCACCTACTTGCACGTAGCTGTCTCGGGTGCTCATCCCGATCTGACTGAAATTCAACGGAGCGTTTCTAGGACAATCTTAGCTATGAGAGGTCTCCCTGACCCGCGCTTACTTCGATGTATAGTGTGGCCGTTCTGTATCACTGGATGTATGGCCGTGAAAGAAGTACAAAATGAACTTTGTGACCTAGCATTATGTGCTGGTGCAAATGAAAGAGACCCTGGAAGTCTATGGCAGGCACTGAAGATCATGGAGACTTGTTGGAATGCGCGGGATCAGATTGGCGGAAGTCAGGACTGGACTACTGCTATGGCAAAGCTTGGTAACAAGGTCTTGCTGATATAGCAATCTACAAAACGGCTACTTGGTGTGGGTGCGGGCCGTGTTTGATGCCCTGTTGACTTGACGCCTCTAAGAGGATTACTATAGCCCTGGTGGAGTATGACTTACGAAATGTTAGGAATCTAATACATGCGCATATAAAATCAAGCCTGCATGAAAGTGTGTGATGGCCCGATCTGTTATTCACAACTTATTCTAAGCTTCAATCATCGGTCTTTTGGACGACGTAGGAAGTGGTCCCTAACATCATTACAAAAGAGGCTTCAGCCAATATTTGTTGCCCTTCACCACTTAGATTGGAAACTAACAAACGATTACTAACTACTAAGGTTGACATGCACTTTGGCAGCTGTACTTAACCGTGATAGTACACTCATAATTGTGGTGTGATAAGGTCAGAACGTCAACTACAAGATATTGATTGAACTGGTGAATTGAGGTCACGATGTATGATGGTGGATGTTTGCAGTAAAGTTATGTCTCTACTAAGATCACATTCCCGAACACCGACTATGTATGCAGTATAGATCCGACATCGTTGTAGGCTCTTTTTTTAACGAGGAACTCCATAACAGCATCCCAGTCTCGGCATTGGTGAAGTACTCCATCACCAACGAACTTTCCTGTCGGTAGACCTTTTTCGAGTGTCGTATCGGCTTGATCTACTGTCAGTAATGATACGATGCTACTACACAGTTAGATGACTTACCGTGACATACAATAGCTTGACGAACTGGAGATGATTGCGTTAATATACGAACATTAGAAGGGGACAGTGGGTGGCATCTACTATATTCAATACAGTGTAACATATGAGACCTGTTTCCCTCGACATCCTCTAATATCTCACCATTTTCTAAGGCTCTGCTGTGTGATCTTATAAATGCCTGTCGAATGTCAGTCCCATCGATGAATTTCATTCGATCATATACGACTTCCTACCAAGCAATGGAGCTGATGTATAACTGAAGCTTGATATACATTAGTTTGGTCTGTATTGTTGAGAATGAAAGTCGGAGGTAGATCATATTGTTGAGGGTTTGGAACGCGTAAATACCCAGCACCCACTCGATATAGTCAGCAATCATCGCCCATGTGTAAGTTAATGGAGATAGGTAGTTATACATGGCACCAAGCCTTGCCAAGCTTCATCAGAACTATTATCGTAAGAAGCAAACTCGCCTCCGTTCGTGAAATTGACCAGTACCGACGGAACTACATGATGTTAGCATGCTACCTGCAGAACTCGACCGGCTTCTTACATGAAGGGAAGAAAGCAACCTGTGGCAGAAGATCACTCTTTATCCTTTCCGCCCAGCCCAAATTTGTCAAGCTTTCGAACGCCGTGAAACCCCCAAGGACAAAGGCAGCGGCTAAAGCCAAAAGGAAGTTGAGGTTCGGAAGCCGCGGCGACCGTAAGCGGGCGGAGTATGACTCCTCCTGTTTCCGCAGCTCTTGCTCAAAACACTCATCATCATTTTGATTCAGCTTATCATAGTTTTGAGGCGACATATCGATATGTGATTGACAGCACGTCGAGTAAATCGTGCGACAATAATAAGAAGTAATCAAACAGGAACCAAAACACACAAGATAGTGTTGATGTGTCAAAGAAAGAAGGATGTAGAAAAGAGAGGCAATCTGGGAAAACAATGTGCCAAACCCAAGTGCAGACGATATTCCAAAATGGTATACGTAGATCGGCACGAACGGAATAATAGGAGAGTTGTGGATAGAGCAGTAAAATAGAAACAGGACAGCGACACGAGGTAGTTCGGCGAGGCGAAAAAGATCTACACGCCTACTCAACGGTCCAGCTAATGCCAGAATCATGGGAGGCTTAAGGAAATTGTTTTAGTAACCTTTGATTCCTTGGACAATGGTCCAAAGCATCTGGTGGAATAGCAATAATCTACAACAATGCATGATACTTTCAAAACCACACAAGTTAGGTCAAGCATCTTTTCATTAACGAGGGCCAGGGGGCAAATAAGCTGCGGCCCGCGCGGAAGCTTAGCTTTATCGCTGGCAATACAAATGAGGAAATAAACTCATGCTTCCTTGTATCTTTTCGCAATTAGATGCATTGTGATTTCATACTCCATAGGTTATTGCAAATCTTTCCAACTCTCGCCTCGCCCCGCCCCTCTCATTAATTAAGTAAGAAGCATTTCAACTTCCAAGATTGCCTACAGTAGGCGATCTGGTGGAGACCTCGCTAAGCAGACGAGATAAGCTTATGTCACTAATTGTTTCTTCGAGCAACTTTCCGATATTTTTGTTTACTTCGTGACAATTATCGGGACGTCTTGTCAGATCTATTCAGGAAGCGGAATTTTTGTCAACATGAATTTGGATTTCGACACATTACCTCCAAGAGATGATTCTATGGAGAAGCTGCTTTCGTATCACCGACGGAGCCTCGAGAATGAAATAAACGGTTCCTTCGATGACGGGGTACACAGAGACGACAAGCAAAGAGTGATGCGAAATCAGTACCAAAGAGCTCTAAAGACTCAACGTTGGATGTTGTACTTTGCTATGGCGTTCGTTGCAGTGACCATTTTTTATGGACTGGGATTTTACACTCACATTGCAATATTGGCAACTTCGAAGACTCAGCCAGTCAACCAGACCCAAGCGGCCAACTGGAGCTTCTGTGGTAACAGCTCCGTAGAAGCGAGGAGGAATGGCTGTATTCTCGACTTCATAAGTGGGGCGTGGGTACGCCCAGACTGCTACGACGAGGAGCTCGAGAAAGAATTCCTAGAATTCAGCGACTGGCACTGGTTTGCCGACAGAGAAGCTCAGCATGAGCTATCCAAGGAGCTTCTGAGAAAGACGGGGGGGCCAAGTCCGATATGGGTCTCAAATGAATACCATAGACAGCACTGCAAATTCACGTGGAGAAAATTGCACAGAGCAATTATTCGCCAGACACCAATCGACAGTCAGGTTGGCAGATTCACGCACACGCTACATTGCTCAGAGTCTCTTGTTCGTCAAGGTGTCGATCCTGTACCGATCGATTCCACATTCTACTCCATATTTACATATTGTGACTTGCCTCAAAATTGTAAGCACAGAGTCTACCTCAAAATTGATGAATGAAAACTAATTCGGATGCTCGATAGACAACTTTTCATCCACCTCAGTAGGGGGTTAGGCTCGCTTCTCGCTTGAAAAGCTACACATATGGCTACTGGGCATTGATTGCAATGAACTCGTCTTTACCTTCCACGACACAGAATTCGGCTCACGCATATTGTACCTTAGGTACAGCTGTTTGATGACCGAGAGCAGCTCACATGGCGTAGAATGTTATTTAGACTCAGTTGTTGTACCCGGATGCCACACAATCGAGCCTTCGCCGAAAGGAATGAATTAATATATTGGCTTAGAACCCCTGTGTAACTGTGTTAGATAGCTAGAAAACAACTGAATGCCACGCACAGCGGCGCAACTACAAGTATGTATTATTACACATCAAATGAAGAAATCTTAATTATGTTTATCTTCACGTAAATGATCATCACCACTTTCACTCTTGGCCAGAGGGCTCCAAGGGTCAAGGAAAGATTGATTCCATACCCTCGTGTACCAAGTTAACATGCTGCTCCTGGTGTATAACTTTGACATCCTGAGATCATGTTATTAATTTCCAAAACGTCGTGCAAAAGTTCAACATTAGTTTGACCTTAAGCTATTTCCCTGTTCTTAAGAATAAATCTCAACGTATGGTAGAAAACGGATCAGCCGCCCACACTCTACCAGGGACAAATAGTTTGCTCTGTGGGCACAGATAGACTCCTTCCAGAAAAAGTAGAGCGCCGTTGTAGGAGACAAGGTTCGATGGAGGGTGGAAAAGCGAGGCGAGCGTATCTACGCAATAAGCTCCATAATTGCAAGCGAGCGCTACAAGGATATGAGTCGCTGACCCTCCCGACCATCAAGCCTGGTAGACTACATGACCAGGGTTAATTTAGAACCCTAAGAATATTTAGCATCTGAGCCATACCGCTTGAAACATCCAATCACAACGGCCTCGCGGAAATTGAAATTAGCTCTGGGATGTTCTAAGTGTTTTAAACAATTACACATTCTTTCTCGACTTCAATAATCTTGTATGCACCGTCGACAATGGGGTGGTTTCAGCTCGCAGATCCAATCTCGTACAGCTACTCTCCACTGAACTCAACAGCAAATCAAGGTTGCAAGTTTAGAGCGATGAAGTTAGCATTGTTATGGTCCTTTTCATGCCTTATTTCGGTATTCATCGGAGCGTCGGCCACCTATGGAGTGGTATACTATAAAGAAAGATTTGACAACCATTCAAACGATCTATTCCAGTCAAGTATGTTCATCACTTAACGTATAAGTATACTAGAGGTTTAACTCATCACATTCTAACTTTCTGATGTTAGTACCATGGAACTCCGTATCTTTCGAGGTCGATGAGCGTTACACTACCTCTAACCCCGGAAATCCGAATGGTTCAATATGGGACAGCCTAGATCCAGGTTAGTCAATCTTATATTTTCTTATCTTGCGTTTTCTAGCAAAGAATGAGAGCTTACAAGCATGCCGTTACAGTTGGTCGAGGTTGGATCACCGTGCAGGACTGGCAGAGGCGTGACTTTCCCCCTTCGTCACGGAACCGGTATCAGGTGTCAATGTACCATCAGTTGCATTGTATAGTATGTTAGCGATCACTGAGCAAGTATTTGTCTGACTCTGACTTATAGGCGACATTAAAAATGAAATTCGGTAATATATACACAGCTCTCAGCAATACTGGTAGGCTTGAACCTCAAGAAGTACAGGCAATTAGTGATGAAATGGGTCATACCACTCATTGTCTCGAGTACTTGCGTCAATCTACAATGTGTGCTGCTGATACCACCCTCGAGCCATTTACGCCTAATTTAGGCCTTGATGGCACTAAGCATAAATGTCGTGATTGGGATACCATTTATGACATTGCAACGAGGCTCCGAGCTACTGATAAATCTGGCATCTTAGATTAAGGGGATGGGATGTAGATCCCCAGAGTCTATGTACATTAATGATACAAGTAGCTTGAATAGCGATCAATGCATGCACACAAAATGTTTTCATGGATTGTGAAGCAGTTTTTCCACCAATCAAGGCGGATGGTAGGTTCTCCAGTGCTGAATCCTGCAAGTGTAGGATCGCTCATCAAGCCCCAAATAAAAACGAATATAATCACACTCGGCACAGTGAAGGCTGCAGGAGTCATCTGCTCTTCGACTGGCGAGCAATTGTACGGCTTTTTTCTGCCTGTAGGGTGAAGCTCAACGCCGTATATCATGATTAGATTTCGAGATATTCAACCAGAAGCTTATCTTCACCTGAATTGACTTATATAAGAACTATACAGGTAAGTTATGACTACTTCTTTACACTAGTATATCCGAATCACGTTGCATGGTAGAAGTATAGACTTTGATCGTTGTACAATCGTATTCCTATAATACAGGAGAGGCAGCCATGGCATGCTTGAACATCGTCCCATGATGCATCTCGAGATAATCCTTATGTCCTTCCCATTGATATTTCGCAATCCAGTTTACAAGAGCATCATGGTCTCTGCACTGATGGCCATGACTCAGATCACCAAATGTTATGAAATCATCAGTTGCCCGAAGAGAGATATCACTATGACACATGACCTGCTCTCTTATCCAATCAATGCAGTGTAGGGTGTGGCCATCAGTGTCGATTTCAGGCTGTAGTGATGTGTTTGCCAACAATCTGTTTCGGATCCGATACTAGACGCCAATCAGAACAATTAAACTTGGCTGTGTAAGAGCCATACCAAACAATGTATAGTGTGAAAAACATCCACTTGATAGATACTCTCATCTGGATTCTGTGGAGAAGGCTTCGATGGCGCGAAATGTTGTGCAGCCCATACAGTATCAATCGATACAACTCCGCCAGCTAAATAAGGTAGAGTTAGTGATGTTCAGAGAGCATTCGAAACAAATCAATACAGTCTTGAATCCGATCCCAAAACTGTTCTGCAACAGGGGAGTGTGCTACTAGATCGGTGTTGCCCATGAAATATTTCGTTGTATTGTATTCCGCAAGTTCAAAATCTGAAATGTCAATGAATTAAGCCGATATGCATAGATTGAGAGCTCACTCACATCTGTCTAAGTCCAAGCCATTGCTTTTGCTACGGGTGAATTGCAAAAGAGCATATCCGCCTGATAACAATATGATGTTGGACGCTTGAATGACGAACCAAATCATAACTATCGATGACCAACGACGACGGGACTCATAAGGCTCTAAGATAGGTTGATATGAAGGTAGTGCATCTGATGCATCGTCGTGAGACTCTAAAGGCTCATAGGTAAACTTCTTTGGTAAGGACATTTTGGAATAGCATCAAATTGACAAAGGTTTATCGTGAAAGAAGGCAATGGAAACCATAAGCACTGAGAAGGCATTATAACCACCGAATGTTCAAATCCCAACATAATCCACATACGAATATCAAGCTTAGTCTATCGTGTAGCCAACCACGAAAGAAAGGCGATGCGAAGAACGTGACGAGGCATAGTCAGTTACGGTAATACAGGCCAAGGAGGTAGGTATGTCGATGCGACCGCCAGGGGTGAAGTAGAAAGTCGAGGCGAGCCTGTACGTCATGTGACTTTGATGTCTGACGACCGCGCGGTTGAAGGCGCCCTTCGCCCGCATGTAATGTACCTCCATGTACTCTACGATTGAGTTCTGCTGACCTGATTGTTTCTGATTGTTGTATCACAATCTGCAAAACTATTGCTAGCACTTTGGGTTTGTGTGGTGTTTAGAGGTTTTTCCTGTCGTTGACGAGATGATCAGAGTAGTATGGGCGATACGCTCCACCAGGATTCGCCAACAATTACAGTGTCATGGTCGTTTCCGCTACTGACTGAGAGCTCTCGAAGTCTTCAATATTAATATATAAAGTCGTCCATACAACCTCCAAGTCAGTTACAATTCCTTACAGCATCAACACTCATATAACAATACTACAACCGCTTCCAGTTCCCAACTGAAAATCCTAGATTGCCATCATCGCCATTATGCAGTTCTCTAAGACCTTCCTGGGAATGTCCCTTCTCTTTGCCTCTATGGCAGCCGCTGCCCCAGTTGTTGTACGAGCAGCAGGGGACGCAACGGCAGACTTCCAGCCAGAGGAGCTTCGTCAGAGCAACGATGGTAGGCCTCTTATACCTGTTTGTCAACAATATTCTAATCTGCATTCCAGCACTGTTCAGCACCAC